AGGCTTTAGGTGTTAAAAAAAAAAAAAAAGAAAGTGTGAGTAATTATAGATTGGTTTCATAAAAGTACTGAGTACATTGGATACTTTTTCTCCCATTCTTGAGATACTTTACTAAGAAGAGTATTTTCTAGCTCCATCCATGTAAACAGAAAAGAGGTAAAGTCTCCATCTAACTCTAACCTCAGCAAATTTAAAAGACTAGAAATTATTCCTTGTATTTTCTCAGACCATCATGGAATAAAAGTTAAACTCAGTAACAGGAATCTGCACACTCACACAAAGACATGGAAACTAAATAATCTTATGCTGAATGATAGCTGGGTCATAGATGAGATTAAGAAAGAAATTACCAAATTTTTGGAACAAAATGATAATGAGTACATAAATTACTAGAACCTCTGAGATACTGCAAAGGCAGTTCTAAGAGGGAAATTTATAGCATTGCAAGCCTTCCTCAAGAAAATGGAAAGAGAGGAAGTAAACAACTTAATGGGACATCTCAAGGAACTAAAAAAGGAAGAACATTCCAATCTCAAACCCAGCAGAAGAAAAGAAATAACTAAAATTGGAGCAGAGTTAAATGAAATTGATAACAAAAGAATTATACAACAGATCAATCAATCAAAAAGTTGGTTTTTTGAAACGGTCAGTAAAATAGACAAACATTTGGCTAACCTAACCAGAAATAAAAGAGTAAATTCTTTAATTTTATCAGTCAGAAATTACAGAGACTAAATAATAACAGACTTCACAGAAATTCAAAAAATCCTTAATGAATATTACAAAAAACTCTATTTTCAGAGTTTCATCTGCAGGGGAGCTTCTTAAAGATTCAGTGTCCAGTGTTTTCTTGGGGACTGGTCACACAGGCTCTCCTATGATTGACATGTGCCAAAATCCAAAACTTGCAAAAGGAAACAAAGCACTTATCATAAACCACTTCATACAGTTTAGAAATAGTGAACCACTCCCATCAGTAAAGTGGGGGTGGAGATTTTCCTAAGGTGACCAGATTTTAACATTGGTAGAGCGGGACACCATTGAGGGGGGAGGGGCGGGTGGGGCCTGAGGGTCAGGGCCTGACAACAATGCAAACTTTGATAAGCAGTTCTCGATAATCAGTTGTCAACAATTATTTGTTATTATTAAAGTTTACCATTATAAAATTAACAAAAATAATATAAAACTCATATCCCGGAGAAATGGCCACATGGCAGCCAAAAACCATATATTCCCTCCTGTTCTCCCGTGTCCGCTAGCTTGTTGTGCATTCTTTCCAAAAATCAGGACTTTTTAAAAACGCTGCAGGGTGTGGGACAAATTGTTAAAAAG